ATCGGAGGTCGTATCCGTTGAGGTGCTTGAGCCTGAGGATCAACCTTCACCTCGGCTCGCGCTTCCGGGTCCGTCCTCGAGTTGCCTGCCCACCATATAGGATTCCTCGTATTCCGCGCTCTGTTCCCGCACCAATAAAGAGAACTACGCATCGACTTTCTGCTCGGAAAGCTGCTGTTCTCGCGGATAAAGAGTTTAAGCGTGAGCGCAAGAGGAATCGTAAGGTGTGCCCGCGGTATAAGCGGTATTGTAAAGTGTGCGGCGTTAGTGGCAATAGTGCGAAGGCCTTATACGGGGGGGTGGCGAAGTGCAGAGGGGGGCAGAGCGATGAATTGGAAGGGATGCGGGATTTGATCCGGGCGGGATGATTGACGGTGGGGATGGTACACGTGTACAGGAAGTGATCCGTGTCGCGGATCGCGGGGCTTTTGCGACGGGGGCTGCTGTACAGTTGTACCCTTGAAGGGTAGAGCGATAATATATAAATAAATTAAATATTCAATAAAGTCGACCATTCAAGGGTAGAGCGCGGCGGAGCAGGGCGCAAAAAAGTGTCGCGCTGGTTTGACATAAACACAAACTAAAGAGTAGTAGGGTATGCTCTAATTAGCCCATAAGGGTTAATGCTTCACCTGCCTTTTAGTGCGGTACTGTCTGTGCGGGTCTTACAGAGGTCTTACAGCGATTCTTACAGCATGGAGTTCCAGCAGCGTACAGTGCGGTGGAAACTGCGGGGAGCGAGCGAATGGGGTTGCGCCGCCCGCATCGGGAAGGTGCGGGCACACTGCGGCTCGAGCTGCGGCATCGCGCCCTGCTGCCGCCCGCTGAGTGCTCATCAACCCGTCCACTGTGCCGCCCTTCAAGCCACCGCAATCCCCATCTCAGACCCGCTCCCCAACCACCAGCTTCCTCACCTTCCTCTCCCCCTTTTCCCCCTCGTGCCCCCCTCGTGCCCCCCTCGATCCCCCCTGGTTCCCCTCTCGTTCCCCTCTCGTTTCCCGTCTACTCCCACACACCACGCCTCACCCGCTCGCCGCCCGCCCACCGCGCCGCGCCGCCCGCCATGACCGAGCCGCAGCCGGAGCCGGAGCCGGACGCCTCGACGCCGTGGCACGACGGGTGCTACTGCTTCCGGACGGACCAGCTGGACGCGGCGCGCGCGGCGGGGCAGTCGATTCGCTGCGGCGGCGGCCTTAAATGCGCCTGCCTCGACCCCACCCTGCTGCCTTCCACCTTCCCGGCCGACTTCTTCGACCTGGAGTCCGCCAGCTGGGACGCCATCATTGATCCGCTCATCGACATCCCGTCGCCAAACGCCCCCTCCGATCAAAAGAAGCGCCCCATATCACACCCCTCCTCGTGCAAGTGCCCCTGCGCCGCACGCCATGTCGCGGAGGCTGTCATCGCCGCAAAGCGACGTAGGTGCTGCGGGCCCAACTGCACCTGCGCCCTGGGCGACTGCAAATGCCCGCAAAACTCAGTCCCCACCGCGCTTCGCTGTTGTGGAGACGCAGATCCAGATATTGTCGCTCAAAACGTCGCCAACACCCTCTCCATGAATTCGCCCCACCTCAACCCCTCCCAACCCGCAAACCCGCACCCGGCTTCGTGTTGTCAACCATCGCCCGCTCGCCAAACCGACCCCATTGCAGCCACCACCCCACCGCAAACACCATCCTTCTTTCCTCATCCCTATCCGCCCACACAACCCCACCAACCTCCTGCATCTCTTGTTCTTGCTCTGCTAGATCAGCAACAGCCACTTATTCGTCCCCCGGTACCCGTCTCATTTCAACATGCCGTTCCTTCTCAAGTGCAACCACCGCTCACATCATGTGCCGATACCCCACCTCCTGCACCCTTTCCCTCTCTCTCCCCGCATATTATCACTCCGCCTCATTGCATCCCAAGCTCTGCGCACCTCAATCCAATATTATCTCCCTCATCATCTGCATTGGTCCCACCTCTTCCGGAAACCCAACAACTGAATCAACTCCCCCCTAGATGCAGTTCATGCGCCAAACGTATTACACCTGCGGCCGAATCACCTCCACGGGAATCTAAGACCACATCCACCGTCTTGGCCCAACTCTATCCTCCCACTACCTTGGCTTTGCGAAAACAGCCAAATGGTATTCATCCTCCAGCCGTCGCATCATATCAACTGCTTGTGCCGGAAGTGACGCCTAAGCAATCCGCCAACCCTACGATAGACTCACCATCCAAGCATCTACTTGTCCCGGAGGAACCATCGGACACAAGCACCCAACAGAGCACGGGTCACCAACCTAATGACACAGTTCCGCAACAAAAGCCTCGCGCCCGCTGTTCTGAGAAAGGAACTGGTCGTCGACGGTCGGCCCCACTACCCAACCCGAAGGGTGCGCCATCAGCATCGACAACATCAGCGCCTTCCGTGTCATCCACTCCGTCTGATAATGGCGAGGAGCGCAGTCGACAGTTTGCATGTAGCCAATGCCCGTCCACGTTTTTCTTCAAGCAAAACCGTGACCGACACGTCAACGAAGTGCATCTGGGGCATCGCCCACACAAGTGCAACTTCCCCGGATGCGACAGTGCGTTCAAAAACCGATCAGGACTTAAGCAACACGCCCGAACCGTGCATGAGAAGGCGCGCCCGTACAAGTGTACTCAGTGCGACTCTGCGTTTGGACAACGCAACCACTTGACACAGCATGTCCTTGTGGTGCATGAAAAAGTGAAGATGTACAAATGCGAGCTATGCAGCATGACCTTTTCCAACGTCGGGAACCGCACTCAGCACATGAAGAGACGGCACTCGCAAACGGCCTCTTGATACAAAAAGAAAAAAGGCTGCTTTGACGGGAGAAAAGAGGGGCGCTCCCCAAAACGCTGAAGACGTCCTCTCCGTGATAAATAAGAGTATGACCTATTGAGCGTCTTCATCCTTGTAAACCACAACGAGCTTTATCAAATGCCCCCAGGGTATTCGACTGCGAACAATCCCATCAACAGCGGGGCAGCTGCCATAGTAAACACGCCTGCCAATAAATTAACCGACTCCCCAGACAATATGTCGAAACCACAGATGTGCTGAAAGCGCCCTTTGACTTGTGCTTCCTTCGGTGGCGGTACTTTCAGAACCTTACCAGAGGCGGTATCAAGCCAGCTTGCCTGCATTATAGCGCCGATGACAGAATCAAGAATACTTCCAACGACACCTCCAACGAGTCCTACAAGGACTAGCCATAGCTGTGAAAAAGACCATTCCGGGCTCGCGAGAAAATAGACGCTTCCCACAACAACGCCCCCCACAGCACTGGCAACGGTTCCTTGGAAGCTGACGCCACCATTAGTGCCTCGGGGAACTCTGCGCCACGGTTGTGTGATGAGCAGAGGGTCGACGCCTGGCGGCGAAAGCACAAATCCGACTTCTGACGAAAAGGTATCGCCCGCACACGCGGCGAAAAACAAAAGGTATGCTAGCAGGAGGCAGGATCGGGTCGGAAAGGCCGGGGTAACCGGGGCGTCGAATCGAAAGACGACAAGATAGAAAAGGGCGACGGCGACGGCCGGCAGGGACGAAGCGAACACCTGGGCCGCCGAACGGTTGCCATGGGCGGTAGAGAAGCCGTCCTCCAGGCGGGCCTTTTCGGCGGCTCTGAAGCGAGTGGCGCGGGTGCTGGCGAGGTAGAAGGCGATGAGGGTAGCGCCGAAGCGGACAGAGGCGAGGCAGGAGAGGAAGCCAACCAGGAAGGCGGCGAGCGCGCCGGTAGGGGAGAGGGACTGCGAGCGGCGGCCGCGCAGGCCGAGCGCGGAGGCGAGCGCGAGGGCGCTTAAAGCGCGGGCGAGTTCGGAGGGGGAGGCCATCGGGAAGGGGGGAGCGGTGAGCGGAGCGAGTGGCGGTGGAACGATCTACATGGGTGCGGGAAGTCGCGAAGGTGAGCAACAATGGGCGGGCCGATGTGCGCCGCGCGGGGGACTGCTGCAATATGGGAAATTGATACTGTAGTCTGTAACTTTCCTAGTTTGACTGCTGGGATGGCACCATCCCTCCATGTCGCGATTCGCGGGGATGGGGATGCGCGCGCCAATCAGAGACCTGTTTTGTTCGCAATGCAGCGATGCAGCCGGAATTGAATGTGTGGGCAGATTTAAGGCGGCGTGCGGCCGTACTGCTCATGCTGTCAGGGCCATTCCATTCATCGTGATTGGCATGACGCATCTAGGACGAGCCTGTCATGAAGACATCAATAAAGCTGTTCAGTATACAGGGCGCACCGTGGTCCTCGAAAAGCTAACGCACTAACTCGGAAGGAAAGAAGCAGGATTTATCATGACATCAACATTGGTCTCTGCTATCACTGATTCCGTGAGATTCCTCATGTTATCACGGTTCTCCCTATGACTTCTACACGTTCTGTGCTACAGAGTAAAGTCTCGATAGAGTGAGGCCTCAACAAAGTGAACAGACTGTATACAATGAACCGCAACGGCAGTAACAAGGCGCCACCGTCCCGTTTTAGCCCAAAGTCCCCACTTCGGCAGACGTGCAGTGAACTGAGCGGGCTTCCAATATGCACCACATTTTGCTTCTCTCTATCGAGACATTGCTCTGTAAAAGCCTTCCTACTATGGCGCCCATATATGTAGGTTCACTGCCCAAGCCGCAAATATGTTGGAATTAAAAGGGCCTTTCTATCTTCCCAGGTTGTGTCTTCAGATTGAAGCCCATCCACAGCGCGGACCATGAGCAAACAAACAACCGCCTCAACTTTTTCACTCACCAAAAACCTACCATCGCCTTCTCATTACGTAACCATGTTGCTTCTGCATTTAGGTCGCGACCGCTTCTCCAGACTTAAAAACGGTCCACGATCTCTAGCAACCGCATTTTACCCAATTTCATATACTGTACAACCCTGCTTTGGGTACCACAGGAGGAAATATTGCAACCGCTCGCGAGTATGTGCATGTACATAAACAAGTATCACGTGCATGTAGAAAGGACGTTCGCACTAGAATCGCCTACTCGACCGGTAGTAGCAGGTGCCAAGCCTTTCTTTGGCATCGGTTAGAGAAACTTCACTCCACACCGAGTCTTCTTCAACTGCGATTCACCGGACATGTGCATTGATTGCTCAATATCAGGACACTATATAAGATCCGTCAAATGGAAGAATATCATGCCAGGCGAACTAACACATGACATCATTACGGGCTCTTCTAGCTGCGCTCATGACAAAACTCAAATTAGTAATAGCCAAAGTGCGATTAACTAAAACCAACCCAAAACCAAAACCCACAGCAAAACCCAACATCAAAACCAAAGGCACACAAACATCTTTCCATACTATCCCATCTAGAAACATGAATGCCCTTGAGATGGATACCACAACAATCCTCCAAAAAGCATCTCCCCGAACTGGTTTTCGAAATACTGGAAACGTTTGCTACATGAACTCTGTCGTTCAACTTCTTCTCAGCGACGACAGACTGATTCATACACTTCACTCTAGATTTCAAAGTCATGTCTCCGAATCCCCTGCCTCACGCGGACTTATCTCTATGTATAGCACTCCACATGACGTAGTCCTTCCATCCTTCCGAGAGGCCATTGCTCAGAAATCATTAGAATTTTTGACCGATGCCATGCAAGATGCCCACGAATACATCGTCTCTGTTTTTGATGTCATCTCGAGCGAGTCTCAGTGCGGAGAACATTCAACCATATCGGGTCTGAGACAGCTGGGCTACTCTTTAAAGCAATGTCGATTACTTCAATGCAAGGGCTGTAATGTGATTTCGACTCTTCGAGATGAAGTGCAACTCGGTCTTAGTCTCAGTATTCTGTCAGAATATGATCCAGATATACATGCTCTCAAGTATTTTGACTCCAATTTGCAAGAGATGCTCGACAGCAACTTTGAAAACGAGGAAATCGAGCGCAGATGTCCTGTGTGCGAGCATTCAGGTGCTATTCTCGAGACGTTCATTTCTGAAGTTCCGCGGTGTCTACTGATACAGATCAAGCGATTTTCGTTTGACCTGCAGAAGATAAACGCGTCTGTCTCGATTCCGGATGAGCTTTTGGTTGATTCAATGACGGCAGATTGCAAATATGGAGCCCTTCACAGTTATAAGTTAAAGGGAATAATTTCGCATATCTCGCAGGATATGATCAGTGGCCACTATGTGGCCCTTATACAGGAACAAGATGGGACATGGACAGGTTACAATGATGCGAAAGTCCTCCCCGGACTAAAAGCCGAAGAATTAGATAACCTGGAAGGATACATAGTTTTGTACATGCTATCTTTTTCGGAACGAGTGCAGATGAAATGTAATTAATACATTGTGCAAATCCATTTCACACAAAACTTCGTGCTCATGTGTAAGTAAATAACTTATTTTTTGTTTCTTAGAAGTTCTACTAGAGAGACCTTCTGTTCTCTAATAGCTCGAAACAATTACACCACACATTGTGAACAGAGTCCAGCCACCAAGAATGGAAAAGAATTTCCGCCTACTACTTCAAGTTGATGTTTTCACAAAGAAATAACTCGTATATGTCACAAAGACAAAAACTCGTACATGTCTCTCTCGAAGCAAAAAGGGACAAGGCTACATCACAAAAAAATGCGCAAAGACATATGGTCTTTAGAAAAGCGAAACTAAAGGAACAGTAGTCATGCGTGTCAGAAGATCTCATGAAGTAGATGAGAGACATGTCATGTTTCTTCAGACGACATGTACGGCTTTGCCATAAATGGTGATGACAGATTTGTTTTAGAGACCGGATGCAGGTGAAGCAATTGTGTTTTTGCAAGTAGGAAAGTAGAAGGTACCTTCGAGGAAATGACAACCACACGCGTTAGATAATTGGTAAGCTACGTATATCTATAGAGCAACCCCACCGCGCACATCTATTAGTAATATAGGACGAAGGACGAGCCGTCTATTCGCTCGCGGATTTCTATGTTGTACTCAAACACATCCATCATCTCTGCGGGGACCTAGACCATTAGTCTGAAACAAGCTGTTAAAACTGTTCGCAGGTGAAGGCATGCAGGTGATAAAAAAATTGAACCATATTTGCGGCTTCGGATAGCATTTTTTTGACGTTTTGACAATTATGCCATGGATGACGTGAACATTGTGGATGATATCTAGGTTTCTTCTAGGGTACTGTGTGATGTCCCTGCCAGTCCTGAGGTAGAAGAACTAACATCCTTCTTCAGGCAATGAGTGCATCCTAGAATCGCCAACTGGCGAAAACACAAAAAACTGCGTCACTTTTTGACCGATTGCTCTTCTACATAAGATCCTCAGTTCTTCAAGATACTGTAGAGTCACTCAATACTGTACTAGTTTTTGAGCATTTTGTCATCAGTTTGCAGTCGGTCGTCAGAGTCTCAAAGGGGATTACAGATCATCCTGGCTCCAAAGGAAGTGCTCATATGTCTTCAGATTGCTTAAGTGTAAGTTCCTGCTGATGACCTCTATTGAAAGCGATTATGATAGCGGAGACTACAAAATCTAATTCAGCCCACGGATGTGTACTTCATGCGGTACATTTTCACGAATTGTGCACTTATCGAATTGATGCACTGCAGAAGATACGGAGTGAGCAAAAGAACCAAAGAGAAATATCTCCATAGCGACGTGCACATTTGACAAGCGACATCGCATCACCGCCGCCAACTGACATGCGATTGCTTTGATCGCTCTCGCTTGTCAGCATTTCATGCAAGTCCAGTGATGCGATTTAAACTCCCAGAAAAATCCTCCATCATCCACTCCCCATTTTGCATTTCGCTTCCCATTGCCTCTGCTTAGCACAACATGAGCTTCAAAATTTGACTTTTCGCCCATCTCGTCTATATAAAACAAATAGGTTTTCACATTCCCAATCCTCCTCTCTTCACCTGCACACCTTCTCTCCGGCTTCTCACCATGGTCCTGCATTTCAGACTCGCCAAAGTCCTGACCATGCACTCCATCAACACTCTGTGTACCATGGACAGAATGCAGAGAAGGCTGATTGGTTGCCGTGAAGTTGTGAAGAAATTAGAGTACTGGATTCAAGCCTCCATTGTGGAGCATGAGGAGAGGATCTGTCATTATCGTGTAAATATTGACCACGCAAGGTCAATATTTACTGCCGTGTGGGCGCTGGTGACCAATCCATGATCGAGGCAGACACAGCCTCCCCCTGAATCCGACTCAAAACGCCCAGAAGGGAAAGGAAAGCGGAGGACAAGACCCCAGTCTCTGAACTCTTTGTCAATCTTGTTAGCTTGCCACTGAAGTGAGAATTTGAGGTCTGTCCAATGCTTCGCGAGTTTGTGATTACATTTTTGGCCCGGCTTCACAGCCATCGTTGTCAGAGCTGATCTTGGAAAGCTTTTCTGTTGCTGTGACCAGCATGGAAACGGTGGCTCCAGCGGTAT